CAAAAGGATGATGCAACAATCCATGCTGATGGGACTTTGTTGGGGCCAAAAACCAATCTTCATTTTGCTGTTCTAAATTTTCCTGTTAGTCTAGTTCCTACCCTAGTGCAGATTATTGAATCATCTGCCACTGAAGCTGTTCATTCTTTGCAACAATTGTTAGCCCCAATTAAGGGTATATTATACATGGAAGGAGACCTCAGAGGAAGTCTTGCAAAACCTGAATGTGATGTGCAAGTAAGACTCCTGGATGGTACCATTGGGGGCATTGATCTAGGGCGAGCTGAAGTTGTCGCTTCCCTAACCTCAAGCAGCCGTTTTCTGTTCAATGCCAAGTTTGAACCAATCATCCAAAATGGCCATGTGCATATACAGGGAAGTGTTCCTGTTACTTTTGTTCAGAATAGCATGTCTGAGGAAGAAGAAACAGAAACAGAACGAAGCAGGACAACTTTGGTGCCTGGCTGGGTGAAAGAAAGGAGTAAGGATTCAACTGATAAAGCTAGTGAGAAGAAAACCTTTCGAGAGAGAACAGAAGAAGGTTGGGATGCTCAGTTAGCAGAAAGCCTTAAAGGTTTAAATTGGAACATCTTAGATGTAGGAGAAGTTAGAATTGATGCTGATATAAAGGATGGGGGCATGATGCTGTTGACTGCATTATCTCCTTATGCCAACTGGCTTAATGGCAATGCTGATGTCATGCTTCAGGTGGGTTAGTTGAAGAAGGTTACTTGTTGCCTAAACACTTATGGTAAAGAATTTGCTTAAAATTTAATCAAGATTTATTTAGTATTAACTTCCTATTATTTTATGTCTTTTCATAAACAGGTTAGAGGCACAGTTGAACAACCTGTACTTGATGGATCTGCATCATTCCACAAGGCATCTATATCTTCTCCGGTACTCAGAAAACCTCTTACAAACATTGGTGGCACTGTCCATGTGAAATCAAATAAGTTATGCATTGCTTTATTGGAAAGCAGAGTAAGCAGAAGGGGAAAGCTCTTTGTAAAAGGGAATTTACCCCTTCGAACAAGTGAAGCATCCCTGGGTGATAAAATTGACTTGAAATGTGAAGTTCTCGAAGTACGGGCAAAGAATATTCTGAGGTACATTTGTCTTTCTTTGAAATGTGATTTATGATTCTTTATATAATGATTTTGTTCCTGAATGCTGGTTCTTGTGTTTATTGTAAGATTGATGAAAGGCAGTAGTTCCTGCACTACACCTGCCTCTTAGCTGCCATCTGGCATTAGCCTAATCTTGCCATTAGATCTATATACTCGGCAGATCCCCCTGCCCCAGCTTTTTATTAGCAATCTAATTGTTTTGATTTCCTTTATGTGTTGATAGTGGAGAACTGACATCTTGTTGAATCAGTGGCCAGGTTGACACTCAGTTGCAGATAACTGGCTCTATGATGCAGCCAAACATCTCAGGGAATATTAAATTGAGCCATGGAGAGGCATATTTACCTCATGATAAGGGTAGTGGAGCTGCACCTTTTAATAGGCTGGCATCAAATCAGTCCAGGCTTCCAGGTGCTGGAGTCAATCAAGCAGTTGCTTCTAGATATGTCTCACGGTTTGTCAGTTCTGAACCTGCATCTTCGAGAACCAAACTCCCACAACAGTCTGGTAGTATATGCTATTCAATACTTCCAATTCTGATGCCTTTTCTTTCTATCTAGCTGGCACTGAATTCTGCAATGATTTTAAAATTCTGAAAATTTCCAGTAGATATTATTGAAATGTCTCTTTTTCAAGAACTGGATAAGACTTCAAGGCTAATCTAGAAAGGATTCTCTTTTAATGCAATGCCTTATAAAGCATTGGAGATGACATTTCCTTTCAAGTATCCTTGTGGGCACCTATAAGTTGACAATTTATTTGTCACGATATTATTGAAATGTCTCTTTTTCAAGAACTGGATAAGACTTCAAGGCTAATCTAGAAAGGATTCTCTTTTAATGCAATGCCTTATAAATCATTGGAGATGACATTTCCTTTCAAGTATCCTTGTGGGCACCTATAAGTTGACAATTTATTTATCACCCGTTTACTAGTGAGATTATCAATCCTAAGTTAAACACAACAAATATCTAAATTAGAATAGAAAAATGGTGGCCTTCACCTTCAGTTAGGTTTTTAGATAACTTGAAGAGGTTCAAGGCAAAATCTCTTATAGTGGATTTTCATCTTTTGTTTCAATACTTGAAGCCTCACATGGGTGCTAAATATAAGGGATAAGCTTCTTTGATTGCAAGAAATTTTGTATTAGAAAATTATAGATTGGGATATGTGCTGGTCTATTAATGTCTTAAATTGAGATGTGTTATTTTTCAATGCTATTGAACTTAAACTTATTTTTTAATTTTTTTCTTATTTTCTGCACAAATTAGGTGGATATTGACCAGATGAAGGATCTTATTAAAGAGAATAAGAAATAATATCAATTTCCTGAAATGAAGAGAAAGGATTTACTATCAGTGTTGTGAACATGCAGAATCCTATCTATCGTTGTATGATCTATTTGTCTCTATTGTTTGCTTCTGATCATCCAAGTGAACTATTTATTGTTTTCTGCAGTTAAATCAGCTGAAGTTGAGAAGGAGATGGAGCAAGTGAACAATAAACCAAGTGTTGATGTCCGCCTTAGTGATTTGAAGCTTGTTTTAGGACCAGAATTGAGGATAGTTTATCCTTTGATTCTTAATTTTGCTGTTAGTGGGGAACTCGAGTTGAATGGCCTGGCTCATCCAAAATGGATAAAACCCAAGGGCATTTTAACATTTGAGAATGGCGATGTGAATCTTGTTGCTACTCAAGTGAGTCCTATGTATTTCTATGTGACTCTTGTCGTTTGCAGTTTCCAAATTTGTTTCTGGTAGACTTTTTTTTTATTGCATTTGATATACTGACATTGACTTCTCCAAATTCAGGTCAGGCTTAAGCGGGAACATCTAAACATAGCAAAATTTGAGCCTGACCACGGTCTAGATCCAATGCTAGACTTAGCTTTGGTTGGATCAGAATGGCAATTCAGGATTCAAAGTCGAGCCAGCAATTGGCAGGACAAGCTGGTGGTGACCTCAACTCGTTCTGTGGAGCAGGACGATCTCTCACCCACTGAGGTAATATAACAAAAGATACTTTATTGGTTTGTCAATTTCTGTTTCTGCTGGGCACCCTGAAATGATCTTTTCTGTTTGTAACATGCACTGTAAGCATTTGTCCCACCTCTATCTAGCAAAGTGGCAAAGGTAGAATGACTTGAATTGTCAGAAAGAGGATTATAACATCTTATACTAGGGTTGCCTCCTATGGTGTTATTTAATGAATTATTATTCGTAAACAATGTCAACAATTTCTGGTTTTTGCTTTATACACCAAATAAGCTGTCTTAAGGACAAAGTCAAATCATTCTGAGTGAAATATCTCTTCTTACCTATGCGTCCAAATTTGCTTGCAAATTTGTTTTGTGTACTTGCATTTTTATTGAATGCATTGTTTGATCTTTATGCTAATGGATGTGATATTTTTTCTGGTTTTCTGTTGATCTAACAAGGTAATTGTCTAATGTGTTAGGAATTTATAAGTTTAGCCTGGATATGTGAGGAATTTTTTCCCTAGGTTTTGATATAGTTAGTCATCTTGTTTGTAGTTGCCAAATTCAGATAAAAATTTTGATCTCATAGGCTATAGTGGTTTGTTGTGAATTTCCCCTTTTGCACAGGCTGCTAGAGTATTTGAGAGTCAATTGGCTGAGTCCATATTGGAAGGTGATGGCCAACTTGCATTTAAAAAGCTTGCAACTGCAACACTTGAAACTCTGATGCCAAGAATAGAAGGGAAGGGAGAGTTTGGTCAGGCCAGGTGGAGGCTAGTGTATGCCCCACAAATCCCTAGTTTGCTCTCTGTTGATCCTACAGCTGATCCTCTTAAATCATTGGCTAGTAATATATCCTTTGGAACAGAAGTTGAAGTCCAGCTTGGAAAACGTCTGCAGGTAAATCTAAATTCTATCCATCATTGATTGTTCTTTTTTTTTTTTTTTTCTCAAATCAATATTCCATTTCATATAATGAGCTCTTCCTTCATGCAAGTGAATCAATATATAGAATAAAAAGATAGGGGGAAAAATAAACGAACATGGTAAGTAGTTTTTGGGTGCTTTGTTTGATTGTGCACTAATCATTTGGATCTGGCTCAATAAGCTTTTATACAACCTTTAGTCTGTTGAATTTTGTTCTTATCCCTGTGTTTTCATATCTCTCTTTTTCTCTCTTAGGCCTCCATAGTCAGGCAGCTGAAAGACTCAGAGATGGCTATGCAGTGGACCTTGATCTACCAGCTTACAAGCCGTCTGCGAGTACTCCTACAATCCGTGCCTTCAAAACGCCTTCTTTTTGAGTATTCTGCTACCTCGCAAGACTAAACTGCCATCTGCCATCTTCCAGTTAAAACTCAGGGTAAAAGTTCCATGGATGCCTAAGTTTCAAGCAAAACGAGGGTAACAGAGGTCAAAGGGAGGGATAGTAGTTTTTGAAAATGTAAAGGTAACTTTTTCCTGCATATTCTTATTCTTTGCTCGAAATCAATGAAATTTTTTATATTTCAAGCAACTTGATCTTTGTACAGGTGTAAAAATCAATAGAATGATATATCTTCAAGGGACAAAAAGAAAATTATTAAGGTTTGAACTCCTTTATGGCATCGCACAATCTTTTGACCTCTATAACTAATTATTGTATGATGCAATCTTTTGTCTTTACTGACATTTTTACCACACTTATACCTTAGATAATGCAAAGATTAGAGCCTGTTAAGTTTGCCATTTGATTCAAAAAAATTATGCTTCATTCAATTTGACACCGTGGGCAGCAATAAGAAAAAAAAATCAATCACCTGATAACAGTGTTTTACATTGTTAAAGCTTTACACTTGTTATCAACGCCCGGGGGAGGGGGGCAATGATCACCCCAACAAGAAAAATGAATAGAAACAAAAAAAAAAAGAAAGTTGTCACCAAAATCTCCATGGATCTTTGTATGGAGGAACATAACTATCTGTGGGAGGAAGAAGGCGAAAGGATGCAACAGTCTGTTGCAAAAAGCGACCCATCTGCATTATGCAAGTTTGGTTCTGTAAGTAATAATTCACATTTATTCTGAAATAATAAAAATAACTAGTGTCTTTTTCCCTTTGAGTTGGATGACTTACGAAAGCTAACTTGAGCTCCTTCACCAGAGTTACACATTTATGTCTTTTTAATAGAAATAGTTTACTAATGTCATTTGTTATTGTGGAGAGAGAGAGAGAGAGAGAGAGAGAGAGAAACCTCAGTCCACTGCTTGTTGAGAGTTGAAGCACTTAGAGAGTACAGATAACCTGTAATACACATTTGCACAGATGACTGAGAATATGACAATGATAGGGGCAAAGTCCTATAACCAGAGCACAAGAGATCAGTAAATAACTATCTCAAGTTTCAGATTCAACCATTGACTATGAAATCACAGTATAAAAGGATATCTAACCTTAAATCAATGAAGCATCTTTCTATAATTTTTTCCTCTCTCCACCAAGTTGGAATATATAGGCAGACAAGCTATGTCACTCAAATATTGATTAAGTGGTCTATTTTCTTTCCAAATCTTAGGGTTCCAAGACTTTACCAAGGAAATCTCAAATTTCAATTTCAAAACTTATGAGAAATTAGAAAGTAAACAGGGTTGAACAGAATGGAATAGATTTGTATAACAGCTACATCTTTCCTAAATAAGGAAGAAGGTCAGAAATTTCATGATCCTACCGTCTCGTTCAGCCGTTGAAGCAACATAATGCCGGTAAAAGTTTGGTTCTTGAGCCTACAAATATCCACTAAAGGCATTAACATTCCACAGAAAGGGCACAGCCACACATCTTTGCAGCAATAACTCTGTTGAAAAGGAAACACTTACGGATCTTGTTGGTGATTTGCGAACAAGGTATTCATAGTACCAATATTGCTCACCATCAATCTGAAAAAGGAAAAAGAAAATAAAACAAGAAGCTTAGATCACTTATAATACATACGTCCAAGCTTTTAGCTGTATATCAATTATACTAAAATCTAAGCTGTCAAAAATGGCAATCATAAATAAAAGCAAGGTCTTTAAAGCTTACTTCACTAGAATGGGCATCAAGAACAGAACTCTCGGTCATTCGCTGACTCGAGGTGACACGCTGCCAAAAGATGTAGAATACCAAATGAGAATCCACTCAATAGAGTTCAGTTTTCAGCAATTAAATCCAAGAACCTTTGTAGAAAGCATTATTTATTTTTTCGTTCATCCATTTACATGGAGAAACAGTAGACATTTTTTGATACTCTCAAGAAAAATATAAACCGGTTACATGGCTCAAACCCATAAGACAATTTTGACTCTAGTTTAATTTCTATAAAAATGTTTGCAGACATGCACCTTGAAGACATGTGTCGCTGCCAACAATTACATAATGTATACGATTTTTATGTTGCTTATAGTTTCTAGTGCAAAACTCAGTTTCACACAGATTTCAGTCTTAATGAAAATGTGGGAAGAATGGTCAGGTGAATGAACCAAAATTCCAAATCTTTAAGTTATCTATCATGAATATGAAAAATGCACTCGTTGGCAGGAAAAAGTCATTTGCATTACCAGTGCAGACTTGTCAGATAATACAGAATCAGCAACATCTTTTGCTTCCCAGGTCTTCTTATCCTTTGACTTTAAAAACTGAATATTCGGAGGACCTATCTGAATCAAAGGATGAAGCAGAATTTATATACGTCAGACAGATAACTAATAGGGATCACATTCAGCAAGTTACAGTTGTATAAAATTACCGAAACAGAAATGATGAGATTATCAATAATGTCAACACGTTCAGACACAATGCGTAGACGTGCATCAGCTGCATTACATATAAATGATCCAGTTAGGTATATCATATAGTTTGTCACCACAATCTAATTGTGTCTTAGAAATATCGCTCCAACAATTGGAATCATATGACTAATACCAACAAAAAATGCTATTGCAGGCAAAGCTTTTCTTCTTCGAATTGTGTGATTGAATAAGACTTACGAGACAAAGGTGCAGCGGATGAATAGCGTTCCGGCTTTCTAGATTCCACCCTTCAGAAAAATGCATAAAGAGTCATGTTCCTATAATTTGAGGCAACCAATAGATAATACAGTAGAGAACTGGTTTGCTTTTGCATGAGTAATGTTGAAGTGAAAACATATGAAAGGTGTATCAGAATCTCCTTGTGAAAGAAAGGGTAAATGTCCTTTAAACAAAATATGAAATTTGAATCCTCAGAAGATACTTGTTATTGGGTGTGTAAATCATACAGCATAAACTGTAACAGGGGTCAATTCTCTGCATATAGGGGATTAATTGCTTTGCTAGAAGTAAATAACGGAGATATTGAAAAGGAATTAGAGTGATGGAGAGGGAGTGAACAAAATGTTTTATTCACAATTTTCTAATTTATCATTATATATGATAAAATAATATAAAAGGCAGCAAGTCATATTACATATAATTTTGATGCTGAACACATACCATTTGAAAAGGAATTTCTTAGATGGTAACTCCACTGGGTATGAATAGGTATAAGCATTTATTTCATCAACTAGTGAAGCGATTCTTACATCTTCCGCGGCAAGACACCCTGAATACTTGGAAGAAAATTGAAAACTGTATGGATAAAGCAATTCTTGAAAAAAAAAAGCAAACATACATCTTAAATGTTTCCAAGAGAACTAAAACAAAACAGAAAAATGTGAAGTTTCCATTGTGGAATTGTAAAAGCCCCCCTGAGTAAAGGAACAATAACAAAAGAAAATTTATAACTTCCCATCATGACCTTCTAGAAAAACATCAGAAGGAAGGATCTAGTTGAATTTCTAGAAATAAAGGGTTTTTTCTTGGCCAGAGAAATAAAGGGTTTGGCAAATCAATTTTGCTTAAGTGAAGAACTGGGGATCACTACACATGTATCAGTTTCTAGAACCATACTGTCGTGATCTCCATAAAACTACAAAATTGCTTAAATGCAGTCATGATAAGTTTAAATTTCCCAATTCTTTACATATGCTCAAGTCCCGACGTTGATGCCTCGCCTCATAGTTTTGTGAATTCAGCATTATGATGAAACTTTGTTTTTTTTATTGGAGTATTAATCATTCTTTAGGGATAACAAAGGTAATTACTTTGGTCAAAGGCCTGAACTCAAATTCATCAAAATCAAAATCAAAATCAAAGTAGCATACTCTAATATAGCTCATCATCTAACTTTTCCATTATTGATGACAATTAAGGGGCATATGAGATACTCTAATCATGAAACACGCACAGCATTTCACTTTTAGTTACTCCATTTGATTACAAAGAGAAAAAAAAAAAGAAGACAAATATGGTAAACCAAAGGTTATGCTCCTTAATCAAGTTCTTAAAAAAAGGAAATCGACCACTTAATAGCTTTAAATAACTAAATTTTTTCCAACTGTCATTTCCATTTTTCAACGTGCATAAATGTGACCTAGTCAATGACCATTCAGTCACCCTCAACATTCACAACTGAAATCCATAGACTATTTTGTTTAAAAAAATAGAATTAATGAAGGTATATATATATACCTGAATATGGGAAAAGTGTGGAGAGTGAAGAAGAAAGAGCAAAGAGAAGCAAATCCCTTCTCCATAACACGTTTTGGGAAGTGGGTTTTGAAGCAACACTACAACACACCGTGATTTTCTCATGAAATTTTCTATTGCAATTACTATTTTTATGACTTAGCATTCCGTTGCCATTACTGCCTGCCTCATACCTGAAAGCATGAAATCAAAACCAATATTGGAATAGAAAAAGACTTTCAAGTTGAGAAGAAAAAAAGCAAAAGAAAGAGAAAGAACCTGAAGAAATGGAGAGTTGGAAGGGATATAAGAGAGGGAGAGAGAACCACCATTTTTACTCAGCTGAGCTCTCTCTTCTCGGCTTCTTTGTTTGCTTAGCTCATCAACTCATCCACTTGGATTTTGTTTTCGTTTTTGATTTTCTTACTCTTTTTTAAATAGGTTATGTTCTTCTACAACTCGATACCAACGGGTAAAACTCACTAACCAATAATGTCTTGCCACGTGAACGAATGTTATATTTTCATGGTCAAAGTACCCACCCAGTCCCCATACTGCTTAGAAAAATGCAAATTAATCCCTATTCCCCAATTTTGGATTAATTTAATCCCTGTACTTTTAAAATTGATAGCAAATAAGGACAATTATTACACTATTTATCAAATCTGTTAATTATACCGATGCGGCACACAGGTGGCATTGACATGTAATATTTATTTGATAAAGTGATGATATGAAATTAAAATTAAAATTTTTAATGCTGACATGATATTTAAAAAAAAAAAATTAAAAACTTTAAAAATATGGTTAACACATGGCAAAAAAAACTCATTTGTTAATTATTTTTTAATTTTAAAAATCAATGAACCTATTCTGATTTTAAAAATATTAGTTATTTTTAAGTGCAAATATCTATTTTATAATTAAAAAAAAATTAACAAATGAATTTTTTTTATCACTTGCCACCCATATTTTCAAGGTTTTTCAACTTTTTTTTCAATAAAAATTCCATGTCAACATTAAAAATATTATTTTTAATTTCATATCATCACTTTATTAAATAAATATTACATTTCAATGACATTTCGTCTCAGATCAGCATAGTTAACGGATTTGGTAAACGTGATTTGTTAAATCCTCCAAAGATAATTGTGACGGGGTGTATAAATTATTGCCATGACTTCGATGGCGTTGCTCTTCAAAAAGTTAGTATGCCCCTTTGATGCAGCATCCAAACACTGTCCTAAGATATAGCTTTACCTCGTTGCAAATGCACCAGGACTAGGGAAAAAAATTAAAAAAAAAGCATTGTACTTTTAAGAACAAACAACAATCTGACTGACATTGGTTAAATTTCCGTTAGTTTCGGTTATATACACTGAAGTCTCCCAACAAACACGGTCTTAACTCCTAACCAAAGAAATGCAGAAACATTCACCACAGAGACAAAAATCTCTCAACCCCTTTCATATTTTTGCTATTTTACCCTTTTTGTGTTGTCTTTTTTGTTCAATAACCGGAAATTTTGAATCTGTCTGGCTTTTCTTGTCTACTTCTTTTGACAACGTTAATGTTGTCTGCAGACAAAATTTCCATTTTAATGTTCCAATGTTGGAACAATTAAATTTATAGATCTTGTTTTGCAACATTTTGATTCATAAAGAGAGAGAGAGAGAGAGAGAGAGAGAGAGAGAGAGAGAGAGAGAGAGAGAGAGAGAGAGAGAGATTCAAGGAAAAGTTGGTGTTTTTATGATCTGGGCTTTTGTCAAATTGTTAAAATTTTGATGATTTATAGGCTTTGGATCAAATTGTTAAAGAGAATAAAGAAGAATGGGGGTGGATTATTATAATATATTGAAGGTAAACAAGAATGCAACAGATGATGATCTCAAAAAATCATACAGGAGATTGGCAATGAAATGGCATCCTGACAAGAACCAAAACAATAAAAAAGAAGCTGAAGCCAAATTCAAGCAGATCTCTGAGGCCTATGAGGCAAGTTTTTCCTTCCCATCATTTGCCTTCTCTGTTTAATGAATGTTAATAAAGAAAATAAGGGAATTTATTTTACTTTTTTCTTTGTGGAGTTCTATTGTTATTTATAGTATTTGCCTGGAAGGAAACACAATGATCTTGACTCTGTTTTAGCTGAGAATAGGTTGTTAGAATGAATGAATGTTAGTAGAGGAAGGCCTGTAGAAATTAATGTATTTGCTGGAAACTATTGGCAGCACTAGCAGGAGAAAAAAGTGGGATTAAGTTATCCCTATCGGCTTCAATCTTGCAATAGCATAGCTAGCTTTTAAATACTAGTATTAGACATGTAAACTTTATTGCTACCACTTTTCTTGATCACCAAAGGGAATTAGAGCTTGGAGTATGAAATTAATGAATGGTTATAGAAAGAGGCATAAAATAGGAATTTATTGCATTTGCAGAAACCATTTTAAGGGACAGGAAGACATAACAGCTTTTAAACTTGTTCGAGATTGCAAGTTTTAGTATGTTGTATTCAGGCCAGCAAAGATATTGTTATGCTAATTAGGCAGTCCTTGAATGGGACAGATTAATAGGTTTAATGTTGTTCTTTAGACCTGAGTTATGCTGGACTATGCCCTCTGACCTGGAATCATTTACTACAGCTTTATAAGTTTGTTCAGAATTTAATATTGATTTTCTAACGGATTTCTAGCCTCAGGATATTGTTCTCAAACAAGGTGTCTTTCTCACTTTCTTCTTTGTTTCTTATCCTCTGGCTTAATCTAGTCTCTCCATTGACAATAATATTTTAAGCTGCTGCTACCAGAACTTTTGCTATAGCTGTTTAAGGCTTTGTTTCTTTGTATATTCTATATCTCAAAGATTTCTTGAAGTTATGATACATTCAATTGTAATACTATTATGACTACGATTTCAGCTACTTGTTTTTTGCTTTTTTCTTTTTTCCATGGCTTAAATTGTTGCAACAATTGAACCAAGTTATTTAATCTGATTGTCCTAATCTCGATTACTTGGGATTTAGGAGGGATTGGCTATGTGATTATGTGCCTGACAATTTTTCTAAGACTGTTTTAGCTTCTAAACTATTGTTGATTTTCCATGTATCTTGTTAATCTAATTAGGCTAAAATACTAAAAATGCCTTTGAACTTTACCAATTTACTTAGATAAGTTGTTATACTTTTATTGCATCCAAATAAGCCCTTATACTTTGATTTATATCCAAATAAGCCCTTATTCCAAGCTAATTACTGCATTTTTTCTCTAGTTCTCTTTAATCATGTAAAAATTGACTCTTTATATAAGTGAATGTTTTACTTCAACCATTTGTGATCGTGAGACACTGATGTCTTACATGCATTATGTGTTATGTTAAGGGCTTATTTAGGTACAAATTAAAGGTTAAGAGCTTATTTGGATACGAATTAAAGGTTAAGGGCTTATTTGGATGCAATAAAAGAATAAGAGCTTATTTATGTAAAGTGATAAAGTTCAAGGGTTTCTTTTATTATTTTAACCATCTGATTAGTTATCTTAGTCACGTTAGAGGTCCTAGAATATGTTTTGTTTTAATCATTGGAAACTAATAGAGAGGGGTTGAGGTGTTCTGTCTTCAAACCAGGACTTGGTGCATCTTATATGGGCTGGTTACCATCAAGACAAAAAGTAGTTGGCCTAGAATATGTTGTGCTTACTGCAATCTGGTTTTCTTGTTTACTTTGAAGACTGAGCAGACCTAACATGTGCTTAAATGGAACACAAACACAATAGATTCAAACTTGTCCTGGATCACTAGTATAGGTAACACTGAGAGATGTAGGGGCTGGTATCCGTCATCCTTTGTGATTTCCAGTTATTAATATTCAACATGCCAAAATTTAATTATAATTCCTTTTCCTACATTGAATTTGCATCCCAACAGAATTAGAGGAGTCACTTTTGCTACTTTATGTTGCTCTAAATTACTATTCATCATCGTGGTGTCTATGTTTTCATACTGGGATTTGCTTTTAAATGAAAAAAAAAAAGAAACTGAAGATGTCACATGGAGAACTAAGTTAATTTTGCAATTCAGGTCTTGAGTGACCCTCAAAAGAGAGCAATTTATGATCAGTATGGTGAAGAAGGGTTGAAAGACATGCCATCACCAGGCAGCAGCGGACCAGCATTTGGAAATGGCACTTGTGCGCCAAATGGGTTCAATCCTAGGAATGCAGAGGATATCTTTGCAGAGTTCTTTGGAAGTAGTCCTTTTGGATTTGGGTCATCAGGACCTGGTAGGTCTTCAAGATTCCACTCTGATGGAGGGATGGCTGGAGGATTTGGTTCAACTGACAACATTTTTCGAACTCACAATGAGGCGACTGTGCCCAGGAAACCTCCCCCAGTTGAGAGCAAATTGCCTTGCAGCCTTGAGGAGCTGTACACTGGATCAACAAGGAAGATGAAGATCTCTAGAACTGTCGTCAATGCAGAAGGGTATGAATATTCATCTCAGAATCATGCTTGTCCTGTTTAATTCATTTCTTTTCTTAAATCTACTACCATGAGCTATTGCTCTCTGAGTTCGATTTTCCATAAAAGCCTACATTTTAATCTAGAAACACCTTAAGAAATCGACAATGGTTCTCAAGTTTTGAGCAATCTTATGCCTGATCCACTATTGCATTTTCTTGACTGAACTTTTATTTCAATAAGCTCAGAAATATAGTTTCGTGTTCCAAGGATGGAACTGATGAAATTCTTTATTTGCATTGGTTGAAACTTTCACCCAAGAAGGAATTTTTCTACATATCATCTTTTGAAAACATGTGTTTTTATGGAACTGGGGCAGGGAAAATATATATATATATATATATATATATATTTCAAATCGTATGCCCTTTCATGCTCTGTGGCATTTTGTTTTCTATGCATTTATTTCGATTTCATGCTGAAATCTATTAATTCAATTGAGATATTCCCGCCTTAATTAACTGGTTGGAATTGCATTGTTGTGATAAGGGCATCATTATTGGTTGCTTTATATCTAACTAACGCTGGAACTTCTATCTTTAATCTTGCTGATTGAATAATAATTTGAAACTTTGTAGGCGGCAAGTACAGCAATCAGAAATACTAACAATTGATGTGAAGCCATGGTGGAAGAAAGGGACAAAGATTACTTTCCCAGATAAAGTAAATGAGCTGCCAAATCAGCTTCCAGCAGACCTTGTATTTGTAATTGATGAGAAACCCCATGATTTTTACAAAAGAGACGGCAACGACCTTGTTGTCAACCAAAGGGTGTCATTAGCAGAGGCACTTGGGGGCACAACGATAAATCTCGTTAGTCTTGATGGCCGTAACTTGCCATTGCCTGTTACTGAAATTATCAACCCTGGTTATGAGCTTGTTGTTGCTAGGGAAGGAATGCCAATTGCAAAGGAGCCTGGTAATAGGGGTGATCTTAGGATCAAATTTGATGTGAAGTTCCCTACAAGGTTGACACCAGAGCAACGAGCCGGACTCAAACGTGCTCTAGGGGGTTGAAGTAGGAATATTTGATATGCTCCAGCCATTATCTTCAGGCAGAACTGAAACATCAAAGCTGTTTCTGATATAGTCATTGACTGGCAACTTGGTTATTCAAATGGAGAGAGTTGCCTTGCATGTATATCATAGTTTTAATGCCGGATCATCTTTGGTGCTTTGTGCTTGCTTCAATCGAATGCGTCTTCCATTACTTTTATACAAAAAAGCTTTGTAACCTAATATTAGCCTTTTTTTTTTTTTTATTTAGCAAGAAGAGATCCTTGAAGTTTACCTAGTACATCTCCTCTTCAGATCAATCCCAATATTTAAATTGCGATAGCGGTCACATTTTCGGCCGCATCACGTTTGTCACGATTGTAGATATAACGAAAACCTTCGCGGTCATTACGATTATTACGATCGTGAATTTTTTTAAATTTTGCTCAACTTGCTATAAAATATAGTAATTTTAATTATTAATCATAAAACATTTTATTTTATGATTTTTAAAGTAATTTATATCATGTCATGTGTTTTATTTATTTAAGAAAAAATATTTATAGTAAAATATTCATTTGTAAAAAATTATTTATATGATAATTAAAAAATAACAATAAACATGTGAAAAATAAATAATCATAACGAATAATATACTTAATTATTAAATTACTGTACTCATCAAATTATTTTCAAACTATATTATGTATAAATTAAATAATAAGTGATTAGATATTCATAAATTAAGTAAGAGCTTTATTATTTATGAGTCAAGAGAATTACTTTTTATGAACTTATAGTAAGTCAAACTTGACAACCTCCATGTTGTGGGCGATTTTCAACAATAATAGTCTCAAGTCTACTTCCCCCTGTCTCTTGACTAAATTGCACAGACTCACACAATTTCTCATCCCTTCACTTTGCATTCAATAATTTTTTTTTCAAACTTTTATCTTCATCAATATCTCTTAGTTCTCTTTTTATTTGGTGTGTGCTATCTGCTTGCTTCTGTCAACTTCAAGTTTCACTCTTATTTCTTGTCTATTATTTTAAGTCTCAGCAACTCCTGCCTTTTTCTATCAATGTATCATAGCTCAATCTAATTTCAAACACACAAAATTATGAAAAATTTAGAAATTAAAAAAAAAAAATAATTTGAGTGTTGAATTAATTGCTTACTTTAAATTATATATACTTGATTTTGATTAAAGTTGAACTTGAGAGAATTAATTTTTTTGAAAGTTTAAGTTTTGTGGGTTTTTTTTTTTTTTCAAAATTTATAAATTGATGTTTATTTTCTTTCTTGTTGTTTTTATTTTAAGTTTTTAAACAAAATCAAATGATTTTTTTTTGAATTTTTGAATGAAAATAAAAATAGTAGTAATAGTAGTAATAACGGGCAATAACGGACCGTTATTGTCGTTATTTACCATTACACCACAATTCACGATTGCAATTCGTCCGTTGTAGACGAGATTTAAATTTTTCCTATTTTTTTTTTTTTCAATAGTGGTAGTAGATAGTGACGCGATTGCGAAATAACGACCACAACACCGTTATCCGACCGTTATTTGAATCTTTGATCAATCCAAATAGATTTATTTACTTTAGACTTAATAAATTTATGAAAAATTACTTTCTCATAGCCTTCCAACAAATTCAAACCCAAGCAATAAAGAAAAGAGTACATTCTCTTTATCATTTTAAGTCAACATTCGTTACTATTTTTTTTTTTTTGGGTTTTTTTCTTTGTTTTCTTTCCCATCTATTGTTTCGTGTCATACTTAAAATTTTGAGAGATAGGGGTTGTCCTATATTCTTTATTTGTTATTGTAACTTTCAGAAGTGATAATATATGGATTTATACAAGGATTACCATCAATTCCATGTTTCAACTTGAATTTCTTTTATTTTTTTTCACAATTAAGTTATGAGAGTTGAACTTCCTCTTATAACTAAAATCGAAAGAGTATAAATTGAGCAACCAGAAAGATAAAATATCAAGAACTCAAGCCGCAAATCAGGCTTATAAGTTTAATCATTTTTTTTTTTTTGTTTTGTTTTGGTTTTTGTTTTTGTTTTTTTTTTCCGTTGGGAGAGGGTGGAATGGAATTGAATGGATATGCTTGTAAAGTGCCATTTTTGGTGCTTAGCTTACTTTTCTGTGCATACCAGGAGTCCTCTTAGACGTAAATGTGGTCCAGTATAGACGTACCCACGTTCAAATATTCAAAATCATCATGCAAAATACTTTCAAGGAAATGCTATAAAAGAAGCCTTCTGCATATGTGAATTTTTTCAAGTATATCTTAAGGGACATGTGTTATTGCTTAGTCCTGCTACAACCGTATGTTAAGTTAAAAAATTTTATTGATAATATATTTTGTAAAATTAAAAATTCCACTAACATTTTATCAAATAATTTTTTTTTAATAATTTCTCTTAGTTAAAAGCCTATGTTGCATGGAAGAAGGACAAATTCTTAAGTTAGTTTGAAAAACTACCATTAATTGAATAAAGAAGCTACGAAATGAAAAGATTCATCAAGGTTACACAAGCAAGAGGAAAACTAAATAAAATAGCAACATAAACGCTACGTTTACAAAAAGATGAAACTAAAAGCCTCCACTGTTGGGAGCATCCCTCCGCCAGGCCGGCTGCCCAGTTCCTACTGCTGTGTCGTAAATTTGAGCTCCATTTACCCACCAAGTTCCCTGCTGCCATGACTGAGCAGCATTCTGTTGACCTTGAATATGCATGGTTGGTGTTGCCTGGCGGGGTAATTGCTGAGGTGCATTTATTGGCTTTTGAAATCTATGAACTTGAGGTGGTGGGGGCTGCAGCTGCTGCTGTTGGGATGTTGTTTGAGGCTGCCATTCGGGTATATCATCATCATCATCATTCCACTGTTGCATTGAAACCCCTAGGGGCGCATTAGCGTTTGGTTGTCCATACTTTTGTATGAGATCCCTTATTTGATCAACAGGGCGAGATGATGTTTGAGACTGTATATGAGAAGAGGCGATCCCTACTCGCTGGGATTGGTACCCAGTGGGGTATTCTGGCCCCGATGGGATTGAGCGACCAGAAAAGTTAAACTCAGGTAGGTCATCATCATCCCGGGTTGTGGCAGGGCCGAATCCCGGGGGAACATCATCGTCATCGTCATCGTCATCGGGAGGGGGTTGGGAATGTAGAGGAGGTCCACCGTGGGAAAAAGTAGGCTTTGATGGGAAATTAGAATTCATGTTACTAGCAGTATCCTTTTCTTGCTGTCTCCTAGAAGTGAAGTGTTGCTTTTTTGAGGTGTATTTATGGTGTGAAGTAGAGTTGGGTGAAATTAATTGAGGTCTTCTCCATACAACAACACCAATTAGACCATTATCAATAGCATTAAGAGCCTCAGGTTGGTCCTTTGGGAGGATCTTGCTGAGCATTTCAAGTGTTTTCGCATGAGGTGGGCAAAAGTAAAGTTCAACTCTAGAGGCAGGCTCAGCAAAACCCACTCTCCCATCCAAAATATATGAATCAGCCGCCTGCACAAGGGCATCCAAGTTAACTACTATCACATGACAACCGAACAAGAATAATTAACTAGAATTTTTTTTTTCCATGTTTCGTACCTCAACAAGGCTCCCACGCTCACTCTCGGTTGATCCCTCCTTGCAAACAAAATGAACCACCTGCAAAATTTCAAAGAAGAATTACATTAGTCTAACGTGTAAATTACGAATTATAAATGCAAGTGAACAATAAATTCCTACCAACACACAGCAAAAAAGAAAATGAAAACAACTTTCTATTTTTTTTTCCAACCAAATTGAGTTATTCGCTGAGGGGATCTCAAATAATTAGAAATTATTATTATCATGTTACGAGTTCACACAACATTTCACGTCATCGTCATGGGAGAATAATCTGGAAATATTGGCTGCATTTCCCAATACTTAATAGAAACCTTTTCATGTAAACTAAAATTGTATTTGAGCAAAGATTATTTCCAGTTATTCATCGCCCAACAAGCAATCATAGAAACACGATTTTTGTATGCAAATGCCAATCAGATCAATCCTCCTCCGAATTTTCATTCCAGCCAGACAGCCAGAAATTGCAAATGAGTTGGTCGATCTTTCAATAAGTCTCTGTTTCTCCTTGTTTAATGTTCAACTCAAACCAAGAATCTTATTTAAATTCTATCTCTTTGTCTTCTCCTTTTTTACCTTTGTCTTATTAAATTCCCAGCGGACCAGAGCTTATTAAATTCTATAGACGAGAATGATCCTAAACTCAGCAAAAATAAATAAATCGAAGACAAAAACTGGGATAAAAAGCTTTTTTTCTCCCATTTTTCTTTTTGGACACAATGAGAGTACAGGAATTTACTACAATTTAAATAAACTTGAGATACCATAACAGCACGACTCCGGGACATGGGAAGCTCTTGGAGGAACTTTTCAAACGCATCAAGTCTGACTCTGCCCTTGATTTCAAGGAAGCCAGGCCACTCCTTTGTAGAAGTTTTTTCACCACTGCAGCAGCAAAAATTGGATTGTTAATATGCGCAACAAACCTTAACATAACAATTTTAATCTCCTTTTAAAGAAAATTAAAATTCAATGAAAATTACTCAACAAGTCAGCATCTTGTGCAAAGACTAACCATCCCATAAAAATGACTATAGCAAAATAGGTAAACACATCGACCACAAGATAATGGGTCTTCCACCAACTTACTTAAAACTTTAACCTAGGATGAATCATGCCTCTTCACTATAACACATCTTTTATAACATCCAAAAGGTTGTTCCTTTATCCATCCACAGAGTAACCTTAAAGAACTAAACCAAACCACAACTTATAGATCCATGCTTCAGCACATACCATTTATCAACATCCAATGTTCACATGCTTCTCCAAGATGCCAACATATCATCGCACTCTGAAGAGCTCATCACTTTTGGATAACTATTCTTTGAAATTGTCTTCAAAATACTTGACCCAGTCAAGTAAAGTACTTTAAAATATATCATATCCACCCTAGTTATGGTTTAAAGTTTAAACATCCAAAAAACTAAAAAAGTTTTGTGATATTGCAAACTCCACAACTTTCCCCAATTCATTCTACAATATTCGGAGAAAAAAACCACCATAGTCAAAGTTGAGTTAATAATAACTTAAACTCAAGCCCTGTGCTAATTGAAAAAGCACGTGATTAAACATAAACACTCGCCGGTATAAATACTAATATACAGATAAGATAAAAGGAGCATCATGATAAATAAAAGACAAACCGAGATACATACAAACAGATGCAGGCCTAAAATCTATCAATAACAAATTGTGTTCAGTAAAAAAAAGATAAGTACAACATAGCCTTGCATAACATGGCACTTGTAAAACATACCTTTTAAAAGTACAAATGACAGAGGTTATGGCTGTGATGTTTAGCTGGAGCGTCCCTTCCCATAAATGTTCACCCTTCGAAGTGGCTATAGAAACTGCAGTTTCTGTTTTTGTAGGAATGTCGTTTGGCTTAACATCTAAATCAGATTTTGGATTACTTGCATCAAGAGTTACAGGTTTATCAGACATCGAACCCACAGGATCTTGTGAAGCTCGACCAGGAGACTTTGAGTCATCCTTATCAGAAATGGATGTAGCATTTCCAGCATCACCAGGTAAATTCTCAAACGGTGGCTCTGAATCAAGAGATTGCATGAACTCATCAAGGGAAACAATTGGAGGAAGAAAATCTGCATCCTTCAATTCGTCTTCTCCCATCAACCCTTGCATTGGATCAGGTCCCTCACTTGAAGGAATAGTAATGGTAAGATTTGGGTCCTCTATATTACTCTTTTCACCTGCAGTATCTGATTCTTTCTTTCCAACAGTTTTACCAGTTTTGGGAGCGTGTTTTGGCTCAGTTTTTGGTCGCCGACTAATTGAAGTTCCAGCAGAAACTTCAACTGAAGCACTGTCAGTTTGTTCAACCTCCACTTGAAACTCACCCTTATGTGTTTTCCTCACTAGACGTCTAATGTCAACTTCTATATCAGGCAAAACTACCATTTGAGCAAGCTCTTCTGCTTTTGCTTGTCGCCACTGTGAAAGCTCTTTAGAAGCTAGTTCCTCAGCACTCATAGAACATAATCGTTCTGCAGGAATTTCGCCAGACACAACTCTTTCTCTGAGTTCAGGGTTATTACGATCCTTTAAGTTAAACAATAGAGACCTGCCTTTCTCCTTATACTTTTTATTCACACCTCCAAATAATTTAAAGAGTTCTGCTTCAATTTGATATGCCAACTCTTGTGGAGACAGTAATGATTGTTCTAAATTATCTTTTCCCACCTTTTTATTATCTGGGTTTTGTTTTTCAACCATTTCAATTTCCTTTTTCTTTGCCACATCTATTTCAGTTTCTAATATCCAAGAAAGGCCATTTCCCTGCAAAAGTTCATCTCTTGCAAATATGTTGTCACTAAATGGAACATCCTCATCAGGTAAAAGATCGCTAGATTGAAATTGCTGCCCATAAGATTGCAAAGTTTGTGTAGCATCACTATTATTTCCATCAGCAGCAGCATCCCGATTGGAAAGCAATATTCCCTGAGGTTCTGCCGATACAGAGTGGACAGCATCAGAATTACCAGAATTAGAATCAACAGGGTGAGAACCTTCCTCTGTCTTCCCTGGTGAACTAGAAGCCTCACCATTTGTGTTCTTCCCCACCATTGCCTTTTCACCTTGCTGCTGAGAAACCAAGGCCAGGGCACCAGCTAAAGATTCCCGCATCTTGGACCTCACAGATTCAAATGTCTCAGTCTGAACCTTTGGTGACGGCCGCATCTGTGCAGGTTGATTCCTTGAAGCTGATGACCCAGATTTATTTGGAATTGATCTCTTACTCAATGCTGGAGAAGGCTGTGATCCTAGCGAGTTGGAAACAGACTGCATCTGAACAGTTCTTTCACTAGGTGCAGATATTGGTTGCAACCAAGGCCTGTGTTCCATTTGTGCCACTCGTTTGTTCGGTAATGATAACTTCTGTGGAACAAAATTAGGGGAAATGGGTTCCATCAGTGCCTTACGCTTGTTCAAAGCTGGCAATTGATGTGGTCTCAGGCTATCCGACATGGTAGGAAATATTTCTCCTACTTGCTTATTAGACATTAAATACTGTTGTGATAGCTGAGTATATGCTTGGGATTCAATGTGTCCACCTTGCTGGTTTGACATTGAGGATAATTGTGACCCAGGATCATTTGACACAGATCCCATCTGTCCAATCGGCATATGCAAAGGTATCTGCTGCTGTAAAGATTCATTGGCTCTAAATCCCATCAATCCCATGGACATTGGTGCATCCAATTTGCTGGAAATGGATTCCAGCTGATCAATCTGGTTACCAGGTATTGATAATTGCTGAGATACCAGATCGTTGGACATAATAGACCAGCACCACAAAACATATATACAAATACCACTGCATTGTAAATTAGTAAATAAATCAACAATCCATTGTTATACTATTAAATCATGTTCCCATGTTCAATTCATCAATGAAACAAAAGAATGAATATGCAAATCAAGCTCCAAAATTAAGGAACATATGAAATAGTGATTTAGCTTTTCCACGATATTGAATTATTAAAACAACTAAAAAATCAAAGAAAATACCGCTGAGTATATATATATATATATATATATATAATTTTAACTTAAGGAAAATAATCCATCAATTATTGTCCATGTCCAACATTGAGAAAGAATAAATAGAAAGTTAAAAGAATGATAATAAATAAATTAAAACCAATTGCAAGCTTTTAAATCACAAAATCGAACTAACCTATTAACATTTATTTCAAATTTAAAACGAGATTGACCCCAAAAAAATACACTAGTCATTCTTGAGATAACTAATAAATAGGGAAAAAAAAGTCATGCAAAGTCCAGAATCATTGAAACAGAATAGAAAAAAAAAAGAGAGAAAAGAGAAAAAATCAACAATAAAGAAACGGATTCAAATCACAAACCCTAAATCAAACGAGTAACGAAATTTTCAGAAAAAAAGACTGATTGAAGAAAATGTCTAGGGTTTCGATGTTAGGAAGCTTACCTGAATCGAGAGAAGAGCAAAACTTAGCTCTCTGTGTGTGTGTTAGAGAGAGAGAGAGAGAGTGAGAGAGAGAGAGAGAGAGAGAGAGAGAGAGGAGATGAGGGTAAAGCTTAATGAAAGCTTCTTGGAGGCTTTGAACGGCTTGTTCCGTTACGAAGATATTGTGAACCCTAAATGAAAAATACAAAATAAAGTCGTAGTTGAAGATTAGAGATACCGTTTTGAGTACGACTCTTTTTTACGAGTCTAATGTCTATCCCGTGTCAAAGCGTTAGTATTTTCTGGACACTCACTATGAGATTGACACGTGGGCCTTTCTATCCTCTGATTCCGACCCACTACGATTTTAAGCCCACCTGTTTCGTTTCTGCAAATCGGATCGAAACAGGCATTGACTTGACCCAATTCTTGAATGAGTCAGGTTAAGATATTTATAAAATCCTGTAGATATCTCTTTTCGTCCGGACTTATGTTGGATTTCTCCACTTCGATTGTCAGAATTGTTGGGCTTTTCAGAAATCTATTAGGCTTTTCAAGTTTCGGATAAGCCTGTTTTAGTGGATAATTTGGATTTTAAACGTAATTATTTTGTTTAAATTTTAAACCCAATTTTTGGCTTACTCTGTGTGGGCTAAAGCTCATAATTATTTTTATTTGTATTATTTTTTGTTTTGTTTATTTTATAAAAACTTTTTTTAATAAAAATGAAAAAAGAAAAAAAATGAAATTAAAAATTTTTGGTCAATTATGAAATCATGGTCGCAGGAAGCTGAAAATTAGAAACAAAATCATATATTGATCACAATCAAAGCCTTAGATAAAATCACGATTCTAAAAGTAAAAGAATCAACAGATTTCATACGATAAATGAGATTAAATTTGATAGATTTGATTTCCTCTTGATTAATAAAACCATAATCAAATTTGACAGATTTGATTTAATTAATAAAATTCTTAAAATTTTTAATAAAAAAGGCATATAAATGGCATCAAAAAATCAAACGACAGGAGGTAGTTTAGGTTTTTTTGGCATGAAAAGTTTTTTTTTCTTTTTGGGTTTTTTTTTTACAAATCTAGGTTTTATGTAGAAAAGTTGGCTTATGAGATTGTATTTTTGGAAGGGTATATTTGATTATTTTGGAGTTTTTGGGTTTTTGCATCAAAAATTGGAGGTAGTTTGGATTTTTAAGAAAATTTGTGTTTAGGTTAAACATTTAAATTTTTTGATTAAAGTTTTTGGCCAAATTTTGATAATTTTTTCAAAAATCGACAACAAATCTTAGTTTTCGATCATTGGATTTAAAAGCTAAAGAGAAGGATGGAGAGAAAAGAGTTTAAAGAGAAAGAGGGTTTGTGGGTTTAAAGGAAAAATAGAGGGAATTTGGTTTTTATATTAAGTTAGAAATGAAACCAATTCGGTGAAGAACTTGACCCTCTTGACCTGCGTGAGATCCGTGCATTACTTGCATGCACAAGCCAACCCAATCACATATATTTTCTTTCCTTTTTTCATTTTTTTTGTTTTGTTTTTATTTTTCCTATTTTATTTTCATTTTATTTTAGATTTTTTATTGTTTTTATTTATTTATTTATTATTTTTATCCTTTATTATTACTCATTATTTTAAATTGAATAATACATTATTTTATGAATTTCATTTTATTTGTTTATTCAAAAAATAACTAAAAAATGTTTCTAAATTCATGAATCCTACCAAACTAATTGAGGATTTCTCACGAATTTTAAATTTTAATGAATTCTACCAAACTATTAGAGAATTTCATAACTTAAAATTTTTTTTATATAAAAATAACTATTATTAGTAAAATATTTCGTTTTGATCCTACCAAACTATTGAATATTTTTGTATCAAATTAAATTTTACCAAACTATTGAAAGATTTAATTTAATTTCTAAAAATAAATTTATAAGAAAATCTCATCAAACTATTGAGAGATCTACATCAAAGTAAATATTACCAAACTATTGAAAGATTTTACTATTTATTTTCGTGAATAAAATATATTAATGAACTTGATGACGGAGTCTCTTCAAAGTGAGACACTAGTCCCCATGAATACTCTTGAGGTGAAAAAATTATCTTAAACTAATACCAAATTATTTGAGTAAATTTAAGAGTAATTTTTAATAATTAAATTATTTGATAAAATTATAAGAATATTTTTAGGTTTGGATAATTTGAAATTAAACTAGTACCATCCTTTGGATGGGCACTATAAAAGTGTTATAACCTTCTTCACTCGTAATAGCACTAATGAACTTAAGATTTGGTTTCATGGATTAAAATCTACTATTTAAATATATCTAAATCAATCTTGAGATCTTTTTTTAAAATGGGATAGATTCTATTAGGTGACTAATCTCACCTAAACAAAAAAGATTGGTGGTGACCCTTTTAATATATGTCTAGCGATAGATCTACATATCTATGTATTATGATAGTTTGGCAACTTCACTAGAGACAAGAAGAGTCAGGCCAGTAAATGATTTTTTATTATCCAAGCCTATTTAATAAACTTAAGAATTTTTTTTCCCATAAGTTTCATGTATTTATTTTTTACTATACTTGTCATTCACTTGCATGTGTATAACATAGACTCTACACCTGAGTTCTATCCTTTAGAAGAAAGTAAAGTACCTATGCCTTTTTGAGATTTTATGTCTTTGCATGAGTTAGTGAAATACTTTTACTCAAATTGAACTATTTTTGCTTGTAGCCTATAATAGGTTAGGATTTGGATGCTTTACTAGTCTGTGATGGATAATGATGTAAAGAACAATTTGAAAACTTTTTAGAAGTAATCGAAGCTACATATAGTTAACTTTCAGAGCTTAACCTGTAGGTAGAGCCATGTTCTCTTTACCCCTTAAGGGGCATTTGGTTTGTGAAATCTTGGATTATGAGAAAAAGTGTGGCTTTGAGAAAATGCGATACCTAAGATTTTTTTTTTCTATTTTTAGGGCATCCCGTGTTTAAATTTATTCGTTTTGTTAGAAAAAAATTCACATATATTAATTTTTGAATAATTATCATAATCTCCTTAACATATATGATAGTAATTTTTTATTAATTTTTATTAATAACAAATACTCAAATGATAAATGATGCCTTTAACAACAAAAGAAGACAAATATTTTATTTGGTTGCTATTTTTGTTTACGAAATATCATCAATAAAAAAATATTATAGATTATTTAAGGTGTTTTTAGTTGGAAAACACCCTAAATAATTCTTTTTATTTTTTTAAAAGGGATTATTTAAGACATTTTTTTTGTCCAAAAGTGCCTTAAATAAATGCCATTTAAAAAAATGAAGGAATTATTTAAGGCGTTTTTTGAATAATCTTTAATATTTTTTTAAAAGAGATTATTTAAGATATTTTTGATCAAAAACGCCTTAAATAATGCTTTTTAATATAAGACATCGCCTTAAATAATCTCTAATATATTTTTAAAAAGGATTATTTAAAATGTTTTTGGTCAAAACGCCTTAAATAAACTCTAATATTTTTTAAAGGGGATTATTTAAGGTTTTTTTAGTAAAAAAAGCCTTAAATAATACCCTTCACTTTTTTAGCCCATATTATTTAAAGCATTTTTACTAAAAATGCCTTAAATAATCTCTTTAATTACTTATAAAATTTAAAAGATTAAATATAAAAAAAATAGAGTAACTCAGTTGGTTAGAGTATATGGTTATTAACCATAAGGTTGTACGTTTAATCTCTCATTGTAGCATTTTAATATTTTTTTAGGGGATTATTTATAAAAATATCTTAAATAATACCCTTCAATTTTTTGAACTGTATTATTTAAGGCATTTTTGTTTAACAATGCCTTAAATAATCCACTTCATTACTTATTAGATTTAAGAAATAAAATATAAAAGAAATTAGAGTAGCTCAGTTGGTTAAAGCATATGACTATTAACTATAAGATCGTGGGTTTGAAACTTCTTTTTAGCATTTATTTTTAGGTATGACTTAATTTTTTTTAGATTATTTAAGGTGTTTAATAATCCTGTTTAATTTTTTGAGGGATTATTTAAGACCTTTTAAGCCAAAAAAACATCTGGGATTATTTAAGGTGTTTTCTAACTAAAACGTCTTAAATTATTCCCTAACAAATTGAACAAGATTATTTAAGGAATTTTTAGTAATAAAACACCTTAAATAATTTTAAACAAAAATTGAACAGAGTTATTTAAAGCATTTTTCATGAAACGCTGTTAATTGTAATATAAAAAAAAATTTTAATAGCAAAAATCTACAACTAATTTGCAGTCACTTTTAGACATACTTTTCAAAATAGTAATGACAATTTCATAATTTTTTTATTAAAGTCAAATTTGAAAATAACATAATTTTTCCCTTGAAATTTTAGAATGCCATAGAAAGATGTGAGTTTTTTATTCTGAGACTTTAGGTACTGTTAGAAATCTATCATTTTTCCTAAAAATCATATTATCTTGAATCAAACATTAGAATCAACTATCCAACAGTAAGATTTTAGAGAAAAATACATGGATTCTCCCAAACCAAACGCCCTCTTAAAGTTAATATGAAATTTAGAGTCATGTTGTTGTATTGTGTTTCATTTATATTTGTTTATCTTTTATTTTATACTGAGGTAACTAATCGCTTTCTTTGTTCGTTTTTCCTTTCTTGCATATTCATAAATATACATATAGATTGCATACTATTCCTACCTTAAAGATATATTCAATAAAAGCTTTCATGGAACCCACAGAACGTCAAGTTTATGTTTCATATGTGTTCTTCAAGTGTAAGTTACCTATTGATATAAAGGATGAGTAAAAAAAAAGACAATAAAAGGAAGGAGATTGTTTACCATCTAGCCATGTCTTTACCTTACCTAAAGAGGTTCAAATGCTTCTTAAACAAAATGATTTGAAAGACTTGTTAGATATATGGAATAACATAGTTGCTTCAAGACAACAGGCTTTTTATCAGAAGTTTGGGCATGTTGCACATCTTTTGTTGCTAAAGGTTAAAAACTCACTCATTAAGGTGATTACATAGTTTTGGGACCCCTCTTATTGTTGTTTCATTTTCAATAAAGTTGATTTGGTACCAACCATAAAGGATTATTCGATTCTGGTTGGTATGCATCTCTAGTATCTAGATAGGATATATGTGAAGAAACAAAAATTAGGATATCGTAAAAAGTTAGCCTATATTTTAGAGATAGAAAATAAAACTCATAAATTCACATGTTCAAGAAAAATAAGGGCATAAAGGTATTCCAAGAGAATTTTTTTAAGATTTCATTGTTAAACACCCTGATAATGACCAAAGAATGAA